GGGGGGGGGGGGGGGGGGGGGGGAGAGAGAGAGAGATAGAGAGAGAGAGAGAGAGAGAGAGAGAGAGAGAGAGAGAGAGAGAGAGGAGATATAATAGCAGGAAAACAAAATGTGGCTATCAAGGCAAGAATGAAGGCTTTGTTAGGGTATTCTGCTATAGCACTGAGATAATGATGGCTGAGATAGCTCAAATAACTCCCCTGCTTGCCCTTGGGGTTAAGCTGGTTTTCAGTGTTGGAAAGAGGACCCAAGAGAAAAGTCTGAAATGTTTATTTTAGCATAGGTGTTAATCTTCTTGGGAGAAGGCAAAGCCACCAAATGGAGGGATTACCACTGAGTGTGATCTGGGCGACAAAGTCACAAGGCAACTGGTCCTCCAGTTAATGCACAATTCCTGAGCTCTCTGTTTACAAGTGGTGGAGACATTTCTATCAGTGAGCAGTGGATTGGTCTTCCCAGAGAGTACTGTGACTCAGCTAAATGGACTGAGGGCAAGGTTTAAGAAAGGTGTTTCTCTTGGCTTTATTTATGCTAGATTTTGAAAACAGCAACATATGCTTTCTGTTTTTCCAGTGAATTCCAAACACTTCATAATGAGTGTGTTCCTTATATCAAATGTTCATTGTGTGATCAGGTAAATGGAATCATGTCATGCTGGGAGTAAAGAGGCTATGGTCTCCTTCTCATCAGGGAAAAAGCAAACAAGGGGAAAAAAATGTTATGTTTGGTCCCTCATGGTCGGTGCCTCAGAACTGTTCAATTGTTACTCACCACTCACCCAAGACAAACAGTTTATTGGCTGAGATATAACAAAACTAGCATTCTGTGTCCCTGCTGTCAGTATGGGTATTAAAAAATCCCAAATAGATCCAAATCTGATGCCAAGTGGAGAGAAGAGTCATCTGAATAAGGACTGTGAATGATGTCACTGTGTGAATGATAGCTTTTTCCTTCCTTCCTTTCCTTCTAGAGCTAATGCCTCCCCTCCCCCAAATGCCCTGTTCTCAGGGTGTCTATCACAGTAATCCCATACCTATCTGTGCATTTATGACTGGGTAACTGAAGCAATATTTCCACTAAAGAATAAGGGGTTCTGAACATTTTCTCACAGTCCCTGGCATATAGCAGAAGACATTCACAAGCATTTCTTACCATGAGTGAGTGGAAATAAGTGATGGTTGATTGAAAGTTCAATATTTGAGAATCTGTTGATTTTTTTTTTCCCATAGTGGCTCCCAAAATAGGGGAAGGGAAAGTTTGGAAACAAATCCAATACTCGTGAAAATCACAGACAATAATTTGGATGGATAACAAATTTCTAGATCCAAAAGGATAGAGATACAGTGGTAATATGAACCAAATTAAAAAAGATGAAATACTCAACCATGCACTTTCAAGATGGGGGAGAAACGACTTAACAGCAGCATGTGTAAATATAGCTAATATTTCCCTCGGCTTTATTACGTGAGTGCCGGAAAGGTTAAGGCAATTCTAGGTGCATTTTCTATGCTTCAATAGAAGCATACAAAAAAAGAAGAGAGGAAGCAATAATTTCATTCCATTTTGAGGTGACATCCTGAGGGCAACCAGGTGATGAAGAGATGCAGGAGAGTGGTAATTTTAGAAACCCTGGCTCAAGAGGAGTTTGGTTAGTTTTAGTGCGGGCAGAGAGAGGGCTGGAGAGCACTAGAGAAACACTTAAAGGGCTGTTATGTGGACCAGATGGATTACACATACTCTGGTGTCTCTAGCAGACGAAACCAGAAGCAGTATATAGAAACTGCAAAAAGACAGGTTTTAGTTCAGTGTAAGAAAGAACTTTCTAGCAGAGCTCCTCCTCTAGGAGCATAGATTTCTTAAGTCAGATATATTCAACAAGAGGCTGCGTGGCCCCTGACTGAATATGTCCTAGTGGGTTAATCTAGTGGGTCGCCAAGGTCCCTTCTAACTCTGTGGCTGTGATTCTCTTGCCGTGTTGTAAAACAAAGCCAACTGGCCTGAAAGCAGAGGAATACAGTTCAGTAATAAAGAACCAGCCTTGAACATCCTTCATCTTCACCAGGGCCTCAAGGGCAAAGCGGTTAGGCAGCTGTCCAAGGTGCTGGATGGAGTGGCCTGTGTGGGCAGTTCTACTTGTTTGTTGTAATGCCTTCTGGGTTTTCAGCTTTTCTCCTTCTTATATAAATCTATTACCCCCCCCCCACACGTGTGCGCGTGCACACACACACAGACACACACACACACACAGACACACACACACCAGGCCTTATTTAAAAGCAAAGACAGAAATATGTAGGCAATGTGTAAAAGAGCTGAACTACACTACTACCCGGGGCTTCTCTGCCCTGTCCCAGGAGCAAACGAATCCATTTCATTTTCAAAGGTTAGACGTGGTACCTAAAGTTGGACTGTTTGACGGGATTGACATTTAGAGTAGCTAAACATCTCTGCAGTGTTAGGTAGACCCAGGAACACTGTGAGGGTGATAACCCTGTCCTGTTCTCTATTCTCTACTTGTGCAGCCTTTCCTATGTTACTTGATTTTTTTTTGTCCCTTAGTTTTTCCCACTCCCCAGATGGAAACAAAAATAGCATCACTCCTTAGGGGTAGGAAAATGAAGTAACTTCAAGCATGTAAAGAAGTTACAACTATACCAGGTGCACAGACAGCAAATATTAGTGTTATTATATACTGTGTTTGGGATCCTCAGATTTGATAATTTGCTAGAGGGACTCACAGGACCCAGAAATGTAGTTACACTCACAGTTAAGGTTTCTTATAGCACAAGGATACAGATTAAAATCAGCAAAGGAAAAAGGTGCACTGGGTGGAGTTCAGGTACACTGGACCACTTGCAAGCTTCCAGTTTTCCTCCCGTGCAGTCACACAGAGATAGCTCAATTCTCTCAGCAATGACGTGTGACAACACATGCACAGCGTCGCCAACCAGGGAAACTCACCCATGCCTTGATGCCCAGGGTTTTGGGTTTTACTGGGGTGGGGGGTCCGTCACACAGGCATGCAGAGCGTGTGTGACTGACCGTAGCCACTCGGTCTTCAACTCCTCCACCTTCCCCAGCACGAAGTCCAACTGACAGGGTGTGACCCAAAGCTCAGGCATACAAAAACAGGCATTCACCATAAATCACACTGTTTGCATAAACCACTGAGGCATGGCCCAAAGTCTCAGGCATACAAAGACACTTTATCAGTCAGGATGCTCCAAGGGTTCAGAAGAACCAGTCAAGGGACAGTCCTGAAGACTTCTGGAATGTGGAGGGTTTGGGCAACTCAGGCCTACTGAGTTAACCATTTACTGCACATATATGTAAATCTTGCTTATTTGAACAACCCAATTCAACCATTTTCTTAATGTTTTGAATGGCTTTTTTTTTTTTTTAGTATGTGAACGTTTATTGAATGTCTACTGTGTGCATAGCTCTTATAATCTTCTCTCTATAAAGCTAGAAAATAATTTCAGTTTCAATCATGTTATAAACACAGGAAATTGTTATTACTCTAGTATAAAAGAACACACCAGAAACTAAGATCAATGCCATTGTTGCAATAATGGTGATAACAGAGTGCCCCATAAATTTTGACTACAAGTACATGTCAAGTGCTTTAGGTATATTATTAGTTTTAGTCTTTCTCAACAACTCTGGAAGGCAGGTAACAGCTCTGCTTTACAGGTGAGACAATAAAGGTCCAGGGTTCTGAGAACTCCCCCAAGACTCCTCAGTCAGTAAGGGGTCAAGACCATCTGACTCCAAATCTCATGGTCTTAACATCATACATGATAGTTTCCTATGACCCCTGAGAAACAAAGGCTCTCAAAAATACTTTGAAACATTAAAAATCCAACAAAATTTAAGAGACTTTACACATCTCAAGATCCACAGAATGTTTAGACCAGGGGGCAGAGTTGTGGCTAGAACACGTGTTCATTTTACCGAAAGAAGAGATTCCTGCAAAGAAGATTCCAAGATGCCTCGCTCCCTCAAAATGTGGTGTAGAAGACAGAAAAGCAAGGAAAACAGAGATACAAAAGGGGGGAGAAGTTATATAGCTATTTTGAGTGTCTTGGTTAATAAGGGGGACATAAAGTCTGAATGCGCTACAAGATTCCAGAATGGCTGACACCATGACTTATTTGTAATCATATCTTTTTCCTTCCCCTGTTATTAGATCTCAGTCTGTGGTAGAAGCTGGGACCCTGAAACATGAGGACAAGGGAGAGAATGAGAACACTCAGCCACTCCTGGCTCTGGACTGAACCCTGAGCCACCCTGTGCTCTAGACATCGCCAGCCCTCAGTGGTATCAGCCACCAGGAAGCGCATGTGCAACTGACCCCACAATGCGTGCGTTCGGCTCGACACAAGGGCCTCCTCTCCTGCCACCCAGTAATGACTGTCACCAGCCACTGGTCTAAGCAGCCAAAGTTGAACAAAGACTTGAGAGATGCTTTTTTTTTTTCAATGAGGGAATTGGAGGATGAAGCAAGGCAGTTATGGAAACAAGATTCCCCCCATCCCATATTTACAGTATTAAGTGAATTGAAAAGAGAAAAACTAAATCTGATGCACACACTTCATTAGGATAAGGATTTTTCTGAGGCTTTGCAGAGACTCTGTCCAGTTTTTGCAATTTAAGATTAAGTGCATTTCCAAGTAGATACATAAGAATTAAACTGTGCAGATACAATTGTCAAGTTTAATGTAGTGCAAAGCCCCAAGACAATAGTTATTTCCAGTGATTTCCATTCCTATATTGAAATATTTTCTTTGACCTCATCACCAGCATCAAATTTCAAATTGTTCAGCCTAAGAGCACATTCTCGTAGGTCTGGCTATTTGTAGAACTTGTTTTTTCTTTTTTTTGATATCCTGCAAAAGTGATTTTGATATCACATCTTTGATCAGGCCACCAGCTGATTATTATGAGCTAATTTTAAACAAAGACACAAACTGAAAGATGACTATTTCATCTTAGCAATGTGACTTCCCACAGGGGATGTGTGTCTCTAGAGGGTGGGGGGGGGTCTCATTGAAAATACATGTCACTGATTAATGAATCCATTCAAGTTGCCTCACTTGGGTCACTACAGAAAAGTGCTACAAAAGCATCACGCCACTCCCCACTTCCCCTCACCTCCTCTTGCAACCAGTTAAAGGTGTGGAGAAAGGGCCTGGCTGTTGCTGAGAGGGTATGTATCAATCATGGAGGAAGACCCTTAAGGATGGTGAAATATGAAAGAACTGAAAATAAGAGAAGACCAGGAATGCAGGATGAAATGCCAAAGATCACTTTATTTCTTTGTTTATTACCCTTAGAAATGGAGTCCCCAGCTATCCATTCAAAGGAAATTAGATAAAAAATAAGCAGATATCATAAGATACGATATCCTTACTTGTGCCATGTTTCCCAAAACCAGGTGTATGTTCTTAGCTATCTCGTATTCTCCCAGCCATCTGCATGACATGGGCCTTCATTAGTATGACCAGTTGGTGCTCAATGTCAAACAAAAAATATTTTAGTTGATAATGAGCAGTAAAATACGATTTTACACGCTAAGTACTTGGGAGGGTTAATTTGTTGGCTAAAAAATTCAAAGGAAATAGGTGATTCAACTGGCCATAATCACCCTCAATAGATACTAATCTTAATCATGTATTACATCTCTTTCTCAATGGATCTAGTGTTTTAATTTTTTTCTACTGGTAGAAAATAATAACAGAGTGATTTTTGTATTCCACCCTTGAAATAAAATTGAAAGAGAATTTAAAATATTTCTCAACCAATTGCATCACAGTATAAATAAAACCAATTCATTTTGTGTAGACATTTCAAATAACAAAAAAATAACACTGAAATAATTCTACCAATGCAATGACTGAAACAATTTTCTTAAATACCACAACATAGGGAAGAAAGATGAAGAATTAAAGCAAATTGGAAAACCCATTTCATTACTTGAGTTTATAAAATAGTTGTGGGATCCAGTATTTCAAATGCTACTGGAGTCTATTATTGCCAACATTCTGCAGCAGTAATAGCTCTGGCTTTCCAATCGGCAATACTTAGAATCCTCCTGTAGTGACCCGATTTTAAATACCATACTATAATTACTAATAGCTAGTTTTGACTCTATTCCATGATTTCATTAAATGAATCAAAGATGATGGTTCAACAGTGACAACTTACACTTTGAATTTCTTTATGTGTATGCAATATACATACAAGAACCAAATTCAGTAAGTGACATGAATGTTACCACATGAACACTAGATTGTATTGTTCTTTGTCAGTCATTTCTTCTGTTCAATAAATACTGAAGGACACAAATGCTTTTTTATTTTCCAAGAGTTTGCTTTTTCTTCTGGATTTCGGTACTTAATTTTGACATTTTTCCTCACATGCTTCTTCATCTATTTTAGTGAGATTTTTCAACATTGGCACAACAGAAGGAAAGAGGACAAATATTTTACAAACTCTTTGTCTGTAAGCTGAAGTCCTTAAAGACAAGCAAAGGGGGTTCATTTCAACACTAAAGAATGTTTTCTAAATAAGATAAAGGAAGCATCTTTCTTTGTCCTTCAATGGAAAAGAAAGCACAAGTGTTTTTTCTACCTGCGAATGAAATCTGGTAACCTATGTGTCATTTCTCCAGCATTTTTGTTCATATTGGCTTAAAATTCAGTGCCTGAATATCATTACATTCTTATAGCTAACATTTCGAGTTAGCTTTGATTTAAAAAACACAAAATTTAATGCATCAATATTCCACTAAATTAATGACGTGGTCATCTTCGGAACGAGTAGGCAAGTGTTCTTTCTATGCAGCAGGAAATTTTAAAACTGAACTATCAATAATAATTGCCATCTCAAAGTGAAGCTTAAATGGCAGAAGTTTCTCAAGCCAGGGAGATGTCAGAGTCTTCCAAACAATTTCAAAGAGGAAAGCGATTTTTACATCCTACACGCAGGACAGAGAGCCTGGCATTCTTGGTCTTCCACTCTGCCATCCTTCATAGTTTCACAAAATTTTGATGGGAATCCTTTCAACGACCTCATCACTCACAAGGATCCACAATAGAAAACACTCTGGATTCCAGCCCTGTTTCATAGACGCAAAGAGACCAGGAGCCAGGTGTCCTAGCAGCCCCCTATCTACCTGATCCCAAGAGAAAATTTTCACTTGGAGAAATTTTACTTTTTGTTTTCTAATGCCTAGTGCTTGACATTAAAAAAATTTACATACGTCATTGTTATAACTCATTACAAAATGACTCCAAGTCCTTATTCGGTGTAAAAAGTTCCTCTTAGAAAGAAATACCATTTTGACTGTATCTCCACCATTCACATAGCGAGGAGAGAAATTAAGACATGAGCTCTCAATGATGACAAAAAAGCAAAGAGACTCAATGGGTAGCGAGCAGTACGGTTCATGAGACATTGGCATAATTATGTCTTTCTCCTTTGTATTAGGAAAATAGAATCGTTTTTTCATATGAGTGCCTTTTACTAAAAATAATTAAAAGAGGGACGTCTGAGTTCACCAGGGAAGTTACGATTAAGCAGAACTAAAGCGTTTATACGGCTTGTCATTAAACTCAACAAAAAAGTAGTGGTGTGTGATGACAAAATCATCCTGCTACCCTAGAAAAATATAATTGCATAGAAAAATTACAAACTAAAGCAATCCATTTACAGTTTCTACATATACTCTCATTTACACTGATTTCGCCTATTCTAAGTGGAAAAAATATCTTTGGCCGGCAAGGCAGAAGCTATCATGGGTTCACCTGGAATACAGGCATCAGATGGGGGTTGTCATGGATGAAATACCGCAGATATTTTCTAAAAGAATTGCAGTGACTCATATATTCCCTTTAGTGTCATCCAACCCTCGGAGGATGTTTAGAATTTTTCAGGCTGCAAATCAAGGGAATTAAGGGCGGGGGAGTTTGAACGTCTATGCCCACATCCAAGGTGACTGAACCAGAGAGGCAGCCTCTCTCCAGCGTGTCCTGAGCCTGCACAAAATGCTAAATCGCAGGAAGGCTGCGTCTCTGATGGGGTGTCAGCTCGGGGTGCCACACATCCACGATGAAGATCAGCCGGAAAGACGTGGCATCCTGCCACACCTCATGCTCAAAGGAGTCATCAAAGATGAGCACCTTGCCTTCTTCCCATGTCCTGGAACAGAAAAGCATGGAAGCTTGTGATTCAGATGCCTGAGGATCAATCCACGTCTGTGTTCAGGACGGCTCTCTCATGATAACCTTTGCAATAGGACCAGGTAAGTGAAACACAGGATGTGTTCTTTCCTCGGTGATTAAGAAAGAATTTCAGGATTCTTACCATGAACATCAACTTTCATGCTCAGCACTGAAGGTATACAAAAGGCAGGAGACTGGTGATAAGGGTAAACTTATTCTTGGTACAAACCTAGGCAAGGCTTGTTTAGTCGGGTGAGCACTCAAAAGTGTGCCCCAGTGGCTCATTCCCAAGGTGACCTCCCAGTCAATGGCTCCATGGTATCCTCCCTGGCATTTCAGAGATTGGTGTGGAAGTACAGACAGTGACTGGGTCTCAGGCATTTTGATGTCCCATAGGCATGGTGTCTGTGCATCTCCAAATGATTCTCTTTTCAACCCATTCCATTTGTTAAAGTTCCATTTTATGGAAGGGCAGATTGTTTATACTTCTAATGTTATACGCTGTGCAAGTGGGTTGTCCATGGAATATTTCAAATGAATGCTGCAAAACATACTTTAGGGCTGATAGCACTTACTTCACAAGATATCTGTAGAGGAGCTAAGATCTAAACATGGTGTTAGTCTCAATAAGACAGTCGAGAGAGTAAAATGCAGGGGGCGATCATACAATGCCTTTCAAACCCAAGGAAAGTTTATTAATTTTGCTAATGTTTTCTTCTTTTTCGAATAGGCATTAATTGTCAATATGGTAAATGCTAAGTTATGTTTCTGAAATGAAATTTTTACTAGGAAAATTTTTGTAGATATCAAAATTCCTCTCAAGTATTTAAAATCTTACTTCCTGGATTAGCAAATAATTAAAATTATAGGAGGAAAACGCTAGCTTGATTTCAAGTTATTGCATTATCATAAAGAAGTTTTCCTTAGGGAAATGATTTGTCTTTTTATGTTCATTACCTGGTGATTAATCAGTATTAAATTAGTTAATGTTACACACGGCAAGCTTTCTCAACCTTGGCAATACTGACATTTTTGCCAGGTAATTCTTTGTTTTGGCGGGGGTGCGGGAGCTGTCCTGTGCTCTGTGAGATGTTTAGCGGCACCTCTGGTCTCCGCTAGATACTAGTAGCACGCCCTTACGAACTGTGACAATCGAAAATGTCTCCTGGGCTTCCCTGGTGGCGCAGTGGTTAGGAATCCGCCTGCCAATGCAGGGGACACGGGTTCCAGCCCTGGTCCGGGAAGATCTCACATGCCGCGGAGCAACTAAGCCTGTGCGCCACAACTACTGAGCCCGTGTGCCACAACTACTGAGCCTGTGCTCTAGAGCCCACAAGCTACAACTACTGAGCCCACAAGCCACAACTACTGAGCCCGTGTGCCACAACTACTGAAGCCTGTGCACCGAGAGCCTGTGCTCCACAACGAGAAGCCACTGCAATGAGAAGCCCACGCACCTCAACGAAGAGTAGCCCCTGCTTGCCATAACTAGAGAAAGCCCGCACGCAGCAACGAAGACCCAATGCAGCCAAAAAAAAAAAAAAAAAAAGTCTCCAGTCATTGCCAAATGTCCTGAGTTGGAAGGCAGTGAAGTGGGAGACAAATTTGTCCGAGACATATTAATGAATCTGACACTAAAATTTCCAAATAATTTAAAGTAACAAGTATCTGCAAGTTAAAAGCTCCTTGAAGTTGGGAACCAATCCTCTGTTCTGTTACCCATTCTCTCCCCAGCCCTACCTCCTGCGCTGCCTCACACACCTACCCTGATGTCTTTGTTTTAACTGAAGTATAGTTGATTCACAGTGTTGTGCAATTGCGAGTTTATTGTTTATTTTTATTTTTTGGCCGCGCCGCACAGTCTGTGGGACCTTGGCTCCCTGACCAGGGATGGGACCCACGCCCCCATTAGTGGAAGCGCGCAGTCCTAACCACTGGACCGCAGGGGACCCTAAAGTCTTGTACTCAATAAATGATTTCCTTGGCTCTTTGAGCCAATTCCTCTGAAGGGTCAGGGTCTACTGGAGTCCCATCCAAGTGTAACGAAGGACAAAAATATATAGACTCAGGGACAAATGACTGACTATGTATTCATTACCATGCAAAGTCAAATTTGAAAAGAAAAGCAAAGTTAAGAAAAGAAAAAAATGACAAGAAAAAAGAAGCAAAATGATCCCTAGCTTATACAGTTTGGTGGTCATTTTCTCGGCCTTTTTATCGGTGGGACTAAGCAATGTCAGTGACAAGCCTACAATACAGGCAGAAGACAAGGGGGGAAGGGCATGCAAAAGAAAAAACAGTACATCCATGTTCACAGCAGCATTCCTCACAGTAGCCAAAAGATGGAAGCAACACCAGTGTCCACTGACAGATGAATGGATAAACAAATGTGGTCTATACATACAATGGAATATTCCTCAGCCTTAGAAGGAAATTCTGACAATGCTACAACATGGATGAACCTTTAGGCCGTCATGTTAAGTGAAATTAGCCACTCATGCAAGGACAAATACTGTATGATTCCACTTATATGCAGCATCTAGAGTAGTCAAATTCATACAGAAAATTCAAAATTACTTTGGCATCACTCCCTATGAGTAATCTGCCTCTGTCTGAGAAGACTGAAAACTTCCCAGGGGGTGCAATATCAAAACTCCCTAAGAGAATCTGTGACATAACGCTTGGTGCGGCAATGACAAGTGATTCTCAACGTTTTCTGAGTGATAGAGAGTCTAGAACCTACTTAAAGTACTGGAAGTAATTAAGACAACTAAATTGAACATTCTAAGTTTGCACAAAATGACATTTTTCACTAGATTACGGTAAGTATAAGAAAGCCAAACATTCAGGAACGCTGGATGTGAGAAAAACCTTAAGCATTCCATTCATTAACTTAAATTCCTTATAAATTGGGAGAAGCTTTGAGCGCTGGTTCATTCATGGCATAGCAATGCCTATAAAGGTAGAACTTAAGTTAGCACTGGGCTGTGGTTTTGCAGATATTTTGGGTCAAATATGGACTAGTGTAAACCACTGATTAAACAATTTTTTAAACATGAAATCTGGGAGGTATTCCAAGGGGCTGGATTCCATTAGGGCCATAAAATTCTATTAGATTTATACTTGCCTTCCTATTTTCTTTCAGACACTTTCCCAGAAAACAGTAAAGATACTCAATTACTTACTGTAGATTCTTAAATGTAGATACCTTCTGAATAGGTAAAAAATGATGTCTTTCAATCACTTATGAGAGCTAGAATGACTAAAAGTGCAGCCCTAATTGGGAAGGACAATAAAACTCCATCCAAGTGACATGCAGACTAAAGTGACTTGAGTTCAACAAGAGATGTGTCACCTGCCTGGGAAAGGATGAAGGTTTTCCAGAACAAAAAGAGACAGAGCTCAAAGATGTCAAAGGTCTTACATCTCTTCTGAGTGAAACACTCATTGCAATGCAAAGAAAATAGTTTTCAGGCCACTCGCTTTGAGAGCAAATCTCCACCACATACATTTAAGTTATGCTCAAATTATGACAAGAAAAGGACCCTCTGGAGAAAAGATTTTCAGAGCAGCCTTGGAAAGAAGTCTTCCTGGAGGTGCTCATCCAGCCTTCCTCTGAGGGTCCAGAAAGGCAGGATAGCAGTGGGGAGCTGCACCCCATCCCCAGATGGCTACCTCAGCTTAATTTTAGCATTTCTTACTGTTACGAGAAGAACAACTCTCCCTGGTTTGCCAAAAGATAGAAGAATATCTGGTCACAAGATAAACCAATATTGTGTAATTCCTCCATTTCTCAGATTATTATAATTAATGATAATGGTATAATGGTGGCAGCGCAAGCCTAATAACTATAATTTTCTCATAGAATTACCATCACCATTAATAATGCTAAATAATGATGCTACGTGCCTATAGAGTTTTCCACCTAAAAACTTTATAGATTATATCTCAGTGATCTTTGCTAAAAGGTTCTGAGGTAGACAAATGACACGGTTCTAATTTTTCAGCAAAGGAATCACATGGAAGCCAGTTCGGATGCCTGCGGTGACACCGTGATTCTGTGGAGGAAGCAGAAAGGCACTAGGCTTGATTCATTACAGCCAAACCTCTAGCTCAAGATCACGGTTCTAGGAAACATTCTCAGTGCCTATAGCTGCCCTGCTGAGGTGGCCTGTAAGGAATTTAAACAGGCTGACTGGAGTACAGAAAAGGGTCAAAGGGCTCAGGAATCAGGCTACTTTAACACAGCTCTTATCAATTCTGATCCATTGAAATCCCTCAGTTTCTGACTGCACTGGAAATCCTGGCACATCCTGGAATTGAAATGAAAACTGCATTATTGCCACTTCCTCTTTTTTCTCTCCTCCTAATACAGAAATACACATGCACATACCTTCTTTGTCTGTCTATATATCATCTATCTATCTTTCTATCTTTCTATCTATCTACCTATCTATCTATCTATCATCTATCTATCAGGATAAATCATTTTTCTGGAAGCTAGGACACCTGTGTTCTTGTTCTGACCACTGCTAACTAGCCATGTGGCTGGGATAAGCATGTCACCTGTGGGCCTCATTTTCCCCATTTGTGCAATGATGGAGGAGGACAGGAGGGCCTCCAAGGCTTCTCCCAGCTCGGAAATTCTCTTAATTCTCTGAGCCAAGCTGTCGGCTAGGACTTTAGTCTTCATATTGCATTTTACAGGATACATTTCACAAACTGTCATCTGAGAAACGGGTATATGGTATTTGCTATTTTGTTGTATGTCAAAATAGTAATTTCAATAAAAGATGGCTAAATTACAAAGAAGCTCTTTTCCCAACAGGTTCCGTATATATGCACCCTAGTATCTCTCTCCACCCCCACCTGGGGGGACTCGTTCCAGCCAGGCTGCCGTGAGGATTCTCTCCCCTCCAAGTGGGCCTGGGGCTTCGGCTCTGCTGTGCAGCCCTTGCGCTGCCTCTGTAACAGCTTTTGACGTCCTCCTCTTGGTCTTCGGTTACCCAGTAGCAGAGGGCTCTGTAACATCGCTAAGAAAGCCAAAAAGGGAGGACAAAGAAAGGGAAGAGGGAGAGGAAACCTCCCGAGGCCACAGAGCTGGAATGCCTCTGGCCCCTCTCCAGGGTGGCAGCACGGGACCACAAAGGGAAATGGAGGGGGTGGCCATCCGCTGTGCCCTGCTGTGCCCCCCTGCCTCAGCATCCCTCCCAGCCCCAGGCCTATCAAATCACAGCCCCCTCTGTATCTGATCCATTCCTTCACCAGCCCTGGCCCTGCACACCCTCGACTTCCCATTTCCCCCTCCTTCCTGTCTCCTTAGAGCACCCACCCTCATCCCCGCCAGAGTGCGCACTGCAGGTTCCAAGGACCACCTCCGACAGCACAGGAGTGCTTGGTCTCACTCCCTGGAAGGTAAGAGGCAGAAGTCCCCATTTCTGCAGCAATCAGAGACGAGCACAATAAAAGCTCAAAAATACTGAGCATGCTTACCACATCATACTCTGTAAATACAGTTCTGAATGTATTTATATGGATCACTTTAATTCTCAAAACTACATCAAGACATACTTTTATTCTTCCCATTTTACAGATGAGGAAATTGAGGCTTAGTGAGGCCATGCAAGTTGTCTAAAGTTACACTTCATAAGAGGGGAAGCCAGGATTTGAACCCAGGTCATGAGACTTTGGTGCTCTTCATTTACTTTCATGAAGATAAAGGATGTTAAAATCTGAAGTAAAAACTCAGGATCTGTTTTCCCATAGAAACATTATTACAAAGAATAGATACATGTATATGTATAACTGAATCACTTTGCTGTACACCTGAAACTAATACAACATTGTTAACCAACTATTCTCCAATATAAAATAAAAAGTTAAAAAAACCAATAGTCACTGGTGCTACAGCCCTATTAACAGAGACCATGAGTTAGGAGGCTTTTAGGGGCTGGCCCAGAAACCTCCACATCATTTATTATTGCCATAGCAAAATGGATCTCAACTTTCCAAATTCTCAACCATCAGTTCAATGAACAAATGTTTGGACAAAATCTGTTTTCAATGTGGGAAGTGCTGTCTCCCTGTTGAGACGTAGATATTCATCTGTGTGTATGGATAGCCATAGACACCCCATGCTAACCAGGACAGGGGTAAAGAAACTTTATTGGTGTTTTTTTTTTTTTTTTGCAGTACGCGGGCCTCTCACTGTTGTGGCCTCTCCCGTTGCGGAGCACAGGCTCTGGACGCGCAGGCTCAGCGGCCATGGCTCATGGGGCCAGCCGCTCCGCGACATGTGGGATCTTCCCGGACCGGGGCACGAACCCGTGTCCCCTGCATCGGCAGGCGGACTCTCAACCACCGCACCACCAGGGAAGCCCTATTGGTGTTTTTAATTCTCCAAATTGCTTAAGAAAAAGAAGAGCGAGCGTGAAACGTTACTATTTAACAACAAACCTTAAGGGAAGCATCCCATCCAGTTAAAAGTGACATTTTTGGTCCTACAGTCCCAGATGGGCAGGCTTGAATGGTGGATAAGGTAATGTGGAAAGGTCACATTACAGTTTGAATGGAAGATGGGTATATTTTGTGAAACAGAAGATCTATGACTTCAGGGAAACGACTAAAAAAACCAAAAAACAATCCCCACTCTCCCCAAAAAAGGAAGAAGAGGCAAAAATATTTGGTTCCAAATGATTTGGTAATTCACAGCTTCTATAACGTGAAGAGAAAAAATTTAAACTATCTTCTTGGACACTTTATGAAAACATAACAAATACTGTCTATGAACAATTCACGGTGGATTAAAAAAAAACGGTCTCTCTTTGACTGTTAATATTTTAGCATGCCTTCTACACAATCTTCCTAATAGGAAACTTCAAAGAGTAATGAAAAAATATATTATAGAATACTTGAGGTGTGTGGGAAAAGGTCATTATTTCCACAACCATATAATGAGGAATTAAATGACTTATTGCCAATTCATTTCTTCAGTCTGTTGCTGACACTCATGCCAACACATGCTTTTCTGGCTACATATAGGTCCTGTGCAACGTTTCAGGTCAGCGATTCACAGGCAATGAGGCTGGGTCTCCAGGAGAGCTGCACGGTCACCCTTCTTTCCCTTGGTATGGTTCCAGCATGTACCAGAAGCCCTCGTGGAGACTCAGAAGAAAGGATTTGTCTCTGGGATCACCCAAAGCTCACACACCTTGGCCACTCTGTGAGGATAACAATTATTCCCACTTGCCAGCGGTGGCCTGTTTATCCACTGACTCAAGTTCATTCAGCTCTGACTCAAGATCGCTAATGAGCTCGTTTTACTGACTGCAAAGCATGGCCTGTTGAGGGGGACACGAACAAACCCCCAGAGATGGAGACTCCCCAGCAGCCTTCTCCACTTGTTACCCTGATGTCTGGAAACAAAAACCAGCATTCAAAGTGGTCACCTTATAAGTATAGCATGATCCTAATCTTGTGAACAAAACTCAAAAAGCCCCCAAACCTATACATAAGTGGGTCTATGGCATTGAGGCTAGAAGCACAAACTTTAAAGTCAAAGTGTCTGGCATGGAACCTTGGTTCCAACACTGTAGTGGGCTGAATGGTGGCCCTCACTCCCAGAAGTATGTCCCCCTGGAAGCTGTGGCTATAACCTGATTTGGAAAAAAGGGTCTTTGCAGTTGTAATTAAGTTAAAGGGCTTGCAGTGAGATCATTCCGGGTTAGGTTCGGCCCTAAATCCAGTAAGCGCCTTTAATTATTTATTTGCTTATTTTTTTGGCCATGCCCCCAGCATGTAGGATCTTAGCTCCCCGACCAGGGATGGAACCCGTGTCCCCAGCATTGGAAGTGCAGAGTCTCAACCACTAGACCGCCAGGGAGGTCCTCAGTAAGTGCCTTTGGAGAAGAAGACAAGGGCAGAAGACAGAGGGAGAAGGTGACATGATGACAGGGGCAGAGATTGCAGTGATGCACCTACGAGCCAGGACGCAGCAAGGAGAGCCCGCGGCCACCGGAAGCCAGGAGAGAGTCAGGGGACAGGGATTCCCCCTCAGAGCCTCCAGAAGGAACCAACCCTGACCATACCTTGATTTCAGACTTCTGGCCTCCAAAATGGTGAGAGAATAAATTTCTGTTGTTTTAAGTCATCCAGATTGTGTTAATTTGTTACGGCAGCCCTAGGACCCTGATACAAATATCGACACTTGCCGAGCTGAGTGACCTTGGGGAAGTTACTCAGCCTATTTACACATCAGTCTCCTCCGTTGAAAAGTAGAGATTTTAATACTCCCAGTTACGTGGGGTTGTTGTGAAGGTATGCAGAGGGCTTCGAACCGTGCTTGACACATAGTAAGCACGATGCATATTATCACTATGAGCTTCCTCATCATGAATATACATTACATAGGCCCTGAGAAGCGTCTGAGCAATATCTCTGAGTACCGAAATCAAAAATAATATTTACTTTCTTTATCGTGCTTCTCTGTGTTTCACAAATTATGTAGCAGGGGCATGCATCAGTTTTGTCATCGGAAAGCATTTATTCATTTTAAATGATCATTTTACTTATTGAGATAGACAGCTGCATACCTTCAAGCCCATCTTCAGATAGGAAGAGCCGTGCTATGTTTTGCAGTGATGGAATCTTTAACCAACACGCACGCCCGCTAGCAGGAATCGCAGTGTGATGATTAATACCTGAGATCTACAAGGCACAAATTGCTACTCCTTCAAAAGTTGAGAAGCTCTGAAAAATTGCTTCCACTTGCCCGTAACAAGGAAGCCTGATTTCCTGGTATGTGTGCTTCTGTTTCCACACTAATAGTGCTTCCATAATAACAGTGTGAAACTTCCCAGATTTCATATTACGTATGATTTCATATTACATACAGATTTCACGTTCTGTCCTCAGAGTTTATAAACTGACTCTACTGTTCAGCTCTCTAGCTATTTTCACTAGAAGCATTGCACAGTGCTTTAATTTCATTGACCCATTTCTCTCGTGAAAAACACTCTTTTTGTAATGAAATACTTAGCCTGACCCAGCCACCCTGGAGTTAAGGATTACGAAGGATGAGAATGTAATGCAACATAAAACAAGTACCATAGAAGGGACATGGAGAAGGAGGCTGACCAGCATTGAGGAGGGAGAGGGAGGGCACCGATGCTTCAAAGCTCCCTGGGGACGAGACAGCGTGAAACAATCCATCCTCCTCAAAACCGCCACCCTAGCCCAACGAGAGGCGGGGTGTTGGCAAGTGCTTTTTAATAATCACTGTGAATTTGTAAACTACACCATCTGCAAAGTATTGTTATCAGCAGCTACTTACTGCCACCTGAAGGAGGCTGGCTTTTAGGCCAGTGGGAATGGAGGGGCTGCCCAGTCAATGTTCTTATTCAACATCACCCTACAAGTGAGCCGTGGGGCTGGGCTTACAGCCCTTCCCTACTTCTGGTGGAGCTATGCTCAACCGAGCATAGCTTTGTCGTAACGAACATCCATCCTCAGAGGTGACGAGTAAGAGAGAAAGCGATAGGAGGAAACATACTTGGTCTCGTTGGCACATCGGATCTTGCAGCCTTCCTTGGGAATCACCAAGCCCAGGTGCATTCGGAGCCTGCAGTTCGTGGGTCCCGTGTGCGGCCACACGTGGGTTCCCGGGTGCATGACAGAATATTTGATCTGCACAGAAAATGTACCACCCTGTTCATCCATTTACCAAGGTGTGGGAGAACTGCTAAAAGTACAAAATTACTGTCAATTTAGATTAGTGCCTTTGCAGTACTCGGAATTTATCTTCTCGTCTTATTTCTTTGTGAAGGAACTAAAAATAAGGACTCCCATTTTCCACAAAGCTATAAACACTGAACATTTTCCACCCTCAGTGCTGCCGTCGAGGGCATGAAATTATGTTTTATTGAAAAGCAAGTGAAAAAAGAGGCATTCAGTGGGTCAAAGGAAATAACCGTTTCTTTGTAAACATCAGCATATTCCCATTTATTCCCCTAATAACTGACTGTTCTTCCCAGCACAGAAAACATTCCTGGTACCTGTCCTCTTCTGCATCCTGTCGTCTCGGGGAATTTATCTAGTAAAGAACAGGTTTTACGAGCTCCTTTACAGGCATTTTCATTTTTCCTTCCTAGAACAATAAATGATAAAACCACTGTTAGAAACAAATCACAGTAAAGCTTTAACTCATCCCATTTTGACCACATACAATCTATATTGTCCTCCTTACTGTAAGGATGAGAAGGCTGAGTAAACACAAGAAGACAGAGTGTCCTGTTCCAATAAACACTGACTGGCACAGCAAGGACCAGAGCTCTGCACCCAGCCTTGGACTACCGTATTTGACTAAGGATGTCTAACGGACAAGACATGTGTTGAATACTTATTTTTCCCCCTGTGGCAGGCAGAACAATGGCTCCCTCCTAAAGAAGACCACATCCTAAGCCCAGGAACTCGTGAATAAGTTATGTTACGTGGCAAACGAAAATTAAGGTTGCAGGTGACATGGAGATTACTAATCAGCTGACCTTTAAAGAAGGAGATTATCGTGGATGAACCAGATGGGCCCAGTGTAATCACAGGGTCTAAATGGAGTCAGTGCCAGAGTGATACAGAATGAGAAAGACTTGACTGGCTACTGGGGGCTCCAAAGACGGAAGGGGACCACAGCCAAGGAATGTGGGCGGCCTCTAAAATGAATGCAGCCTTGATGACACTTTGACTTTAGCTCAGTGAGACCCAGAACTGTAAAGGTAAAACATCTGAGTTATCTTAAGCCACGACATTTATGGTCATTGTTATAGTAGCCACAGGAAACTAATCCACCCCCCAGCCCCCAAGGAAGGAAAATAGCTTATGTTACACTTCTGACCTAAAAGTGCATTTTCTAGGACTATATTCTAATAACGCACATATTAGTTTTCATTGAAATTTAATGTATTTTCCAATGTACAGCTCATCCTTTATAATAAACTGATAAGAATAGGATTTCAGTGAAGAGGGGAGGAGGTCTCTGAGAGATGGGGGTTTCTCTGAGGGACTGGTCAGGAACACAGATTTTGGGACACAGTCTAAAGCACCCTGGACTAGGCAAATTCCTTCACCATCGACAAAAATCACTGTTTCTTAAGAAAGATGTGCTTAGGAAGGTACAGCACCGTTTGCTCTCAGAATGAGGAAAACAGTGGTTTTTTTTTTAAAAGGTAGAGACATTGTAATTCCCTCTTCAGGATTCCTACAAGGTACTGATACATCTAAGCTGAGTTCAACTTTATTTAATTAATGTTAGTTGTGTCCTAAGATAATTATATACTAAAATGAGAGTTAACAAGGAATGTATCTTAACGGCAGTCTCCTCAATCAAATGGACCTCGATATTTTAGAAAACAACTTCTATATTTGTTTTTCCTAAGTAATCTGTCTCGAGTAAAATGGTAGTTGCTGTTTTTAGTTACTAATTGAATATGAGTTTAATGATAATGTCAGTTTGAACCAAAAGATTCTTGTATATGACATCATAAAGAATGTTCAAGCCCTAGCTTCCCATGCCGGCCTAAATGCAGGATCTGGGGATGACTTAGCGGTAGTACCAGTTGTGGGTTCTGTGCGTTCAGGCAGCAGCTAGGTGAAGCCTGGGGCCTTGAGGAGCGGGCAGAGGTGTCTGCATTTCCCACGGGCACAGTGGTGAGGGCTGAGCACGTGTCACGTGGAGAACATGTGTGTCTTACCCGAATGATAGCTAATAAATGGGGAACCTAACAGATTGGGTCACTAGGATTGCCACTTGGTGAGGAGTGAATTAGAGAACATCTCTAGCCATTTAGCCACATAAATCTTTTCTAGTCTGTAAACACAGATTCTCTGTAGGGGAATCTTATCATTTGTGGATTGCCGTTGGTAGTTTTAACTATTCACATGTGATCGGGAAGGTTTAGGAACGCAACTACACTTCCATGGTGCTCAGCATGGGCCAGGGACCACTCACCTGATGCCTACACACCAGGGAGGGGGACACTATTAGAATCGTATTTTATAGAAGAGGAAGTGAGGCACGGAGAGGTCACATGGTAAGTGGCAGAGCGGGAATTCCAGTCCAACTGGACCCAGAGTCCATGTTCTTAATGGAGACCTAAGGATGTCTCCATTACTGTTACATAATGTAATAAAAACTAGAATCACAATCATTTATCTGTATATCAGACCTTTGCTCACTGATCCTGGTAACAACCCCATATTCGAGGCACTATTTTCATCGTCATTTTTCAGCTGAGGAATCTGAGGCTCAGAGAGTCAGGAACAAGCCCACATCACACACTAACAAGTGGTGCAGCCAGGACCCCAACTCGGGATCCTCAGTCTCCAAAGGCCATGCTTTAAAGCATGATTTTCACTATGTTGCATCTTGGATTTGAACATAACTGTGCAGAACAAACCATTCCACGGAGGAGAAAACTGCCCAGCAGCTGAACTCAGTGTGGTTTTGTTTTTAATTTATTATTTCTCACACAGTGTAAAGTAACTTTCAAGAAGTGATAAACTTTGTTTCTTTGGGAGAAACAGCCCCAGAAAGAGATCTAACTGCCAATGCAAATCTGAAAGAATCAACTGAATATTTCATCTACATGTGAAGAATACACTTTATGCGGGATATTCATGGAGGTGAGATTTTTAAAGGTTCTGGGTTGTATCTCTCTGAAGTTTCAAGGCTTTACTGCTGGGATGACAATAGGTTCATCTTGCATGACAACTCTGATCAGTTGACAGAGGCTACCTAGAACACTGTGTTGAGCAGGATTCAGAGGTTCAGCTTGAGCTCATTCAGAAAGGCTACTGGGATGGGTTAGCACCATCTCCCATGGGCTCTGGGAGAAAGAGTGACTGTGCATGTGTGGCGTATTTGTTAACACTATGTTTTAGCGTTCATCGTTAAAACAATAAACGAGCAAAACAGATGTTCTGTAACATTCACACAGCAATTTGAAAACATCTGTGGGGAAAAATTAGTTATGTATATTTGTTGATTCGGTCTTTCGTTTTTTCTCCAACTCAAAAACGTTGATCATTTAAAAAGGAATAAATATATTTCAGAAATGATTGGGTTACTTAGAGAACTTCCATGGTTCCCACTTACATATGGATAGAAATGAAGCTTGCGGCCACAGCTTCAAGGCCCTCAAGAATCCAGCAGCATCCTTTCCTAACTAGGCTAGACAACCTCTAAGTCTTCACAAGTCAGATCCTCATGGGCCTCTTGTCTGAATCTGAGCTCTCAGTGTGGCTAAGAAACGACCCCGCCATCTCCCTCCCCTCATCTTCCTGACCCCTCCTGCTGCAGGATTCCCTCCCCTCTGTCTCCAGGCCAACAGGGCATCTGCCTTCAGGGGTGCCACCCTGCTTCTATGCAAGCTACAATACTAGCTGCCTTCAAAATTCTTTAAACTGTGAAATTTGTTTCCAGAAAACAGCTACTGGGTTTCTCCCAGAAGCCTGGAACCACAAACAAAAGACCACAAAGAACCTTAATAAAACTTCTTAAAAGAGCAACTATGGGAGTTGTATTATTTTATGATCATAAAATAAAACTAGAAATTAATTTCTATTTAATTGGCTGCAACTGATTTGAAAACAGATACTTATAAAACACATACACTTCTAAATTATTTTGAATCGAAATGGAAATTGAGATAAAAATGAAGTCATTTCTGGGGGGAATAATACAAGTGAAAATATAAATTACAGCTTAAGGAAAGTATCAAAAGCTAAATCCAGAGATCAGTCTATAGCCTTAAATGCTTTTAGTAATGAAGATGAAAGAATGAAAATAAATTTACTAAGAAGTTCTGATTGAAAAGTTTAGAAAAAACGGATAAAATAAACAACAAAAAGAACATGAGGAGGAAGAAAAATATAAAAGCAGGAATTAGAAAAACATCAAAATAAGGTGGGATATAATTTGAGGTTTTTAAAGAACATACTAGATCCCTCTGTCAAACTTAAGGAGGGAGAAAAAAAGAACATGCAAGTTCCATTCAGTGGGAAGAAGAATTTAACAAAGATCAAGGAAGTAAAAAATATTTTAATTACTCTAATTCATGGAAAATCAGGTATAATCAAAATATATGAAAATTTATAAGTTAACAAATGTTGTATGATTCAACTTCTATGAGGTGTCTGATAGTAAATTCATAGAAACAGAAAGTGCAACGGTGGTTGCCAAGGGCTGGGGGAGGGCAATGGGGAGTGTTGTTAATGGGTACAGAGTTTGTGAGTTTTGCAAGATGAAACTCAGTTCTAGAGATTGGTTGTGTGAAAATATGAATATACGTGACCCCACTGAATGTACACTTGAAAACAGTTGAGGTGGTAAATTTTAAGCTATATGTACTGTGCTACCATTAAAAAATTTTTTTAAATACACAAAAACCTTAAAAGTCAAAATGTTGTCCCCAATGAAATTGTCTCAGTTATTTATTTCCTTTCTTATTTAACACTTTGATATGCCCTATAATGCTCTGTATATTTCAACCTTATTAAAGCGTGTGCTTTTAGCAGAGACTATGGTTTCTGGAAATTACTGCCAGGATGCATACTATTCTGAAGACTTAGTGTAGGAAGCTGTGAAGCATGAGGATGTTGATGGAACGGAACCATCAGATGAACTGGTGAATGCTTAAGGTCAACAGAATTGACTCATTTAGTGAGATGCCAGTAGACAAAATTAGCATGTTGTTCCCATATTGACCTTATCACAGCTCTATTTTAAAAAGTCTTGCTGGCAAAAAGCTGACACAGTCACTTGAAATCATGTGATGTCTCTTCTGTTGGACATTTCCCTGAAAATATTACTGAAGTCATTCTTCTTTCTCTGATGTGTAAATCTTAGTATTCTGAAAGCATACAGACATAAACAACAGTGCTATTTGTCCCATAATATAAACCAACTGCTTATCATCCTCTCAACTTATTTTCTGCAGCTTGTGACACATGCTGTTTAGTCTTCAAAATGGATTTACTTTTGTTCAGCTACCACTAACCCAGGTTAACGTGAATTTTCCAGAAGACAGTTGGAGAGAGCTTTAAAGATAAAATTCAGTGCTCCTCATTTTGAGGACAGATTGATATATTAACTCATTGGACACACACAGATTGGGGCCCTGTCTGTGTACCTGGGCCTGGGTTCAGCTCAAGGAATATTAGGTTGACTGTGAACCTCTTCCTATTCTTTTTTTTTTTTTTTTTTGCGGTACGGGGGCCTCTCCCTGTTGTGTCCTCTCAGCCACTCCGCGGCATGTGGGATCTTCCCGGACCGGGGCACAAACCCGCGTCCCCTGAATCAGCAGGCGGACTCCCAACCGCTGCACCACCAGGGAAGCCCTCTTCCTATTCTTGATGAGCTCAGACACTAGTTATTATTGACTTGTCACTCTGGTTTGTCATCACCCCTAACGGCTCTCACCGCGGTGATATCATTTTGGCACGCAACATCGTCTCCAAGGTACAGGAGCAAAAGAGGCTCAGGAAAGCTCCTTTCTAAGGCGTCGATGAGCACACAGTGGGCTCTTCAGTTACGTCTGTACAGTAGGGTTACTCTTTGTAACATATCATTTAACAGGAAAGACCAGGAAAATCAAAATACAACATATATATATTTATCCAAATACACACACGCATATACACACCCATATATTTACATGCACACACAAACACACAGATGAGTGTTCCTACATAGTTTCAAGAAGCAACAAATAGATTTTCGTAATCTGGGTTTCCCAGGTAGTTTCCTTTAAGTCAGGGAACCCTAGCTCTGGGAGGTATCGGCAGAAGTCCCCCCCTTCCCATCAGGTTGCAGAGAATGATCTGGAAGTAGCAATGCTCACCTTGCTGCCACAGTGTAAACTGGCTCCAGTCACCCTTTTCCCTCAGGTTCTCATCTTCAGGCAGAAACAGGCCCTGGGCTCTATCCATCACTGCAAGGCCTTCATCTCGGATTAACTTCCAGTTTCTTTCTAAGGACTAGAGGGAAGATTCTGGTTTTACTGGACTGAAAATATGTCTGGTAAAACACCTTATAGTGACGTGCAGCTTTTTGTTTGTCTGATTAATAAGTAATGAAATGTTCCCTCTCATCTAGATTACTTATTTCAATTTCCTCTAGGACCTCTTGTCAAGGGTGTAAAAAAACCCACCTAATAATTAGTTTTCAGAACCAAATGCCTTTGCAGCATAAACATTTCAGTAATTCCTAGGAACCGCCGAGAGCAATTCCGTCTAAAGTTTGTTTTCAAGTTTGCCTAAAGGTTGTTTTTTTCACAGACCCTAACCAACCAAGAGGACTAATCTTGTTGAGCATTATTACATCAGGACCCTGCCGTACAGTCCATATGACACTCCAGCATCCAAACTGGAATACAAATCACAGACTTAGTTCCACCTCCCAATAGAGGTCCTCATAAAGATGCCATTCAACGTGGTAAATATTAATTAAACTTTCAAGAACATTGGGAAAATGTCCATTGGAGCATGTGATGTGTTATAAAATTAGTAGCAAAATAAAGCCAATAAATGTCCTCGTGTTTAGAATTCAGCCAAACAAAAACATTTCTTTGACTTCTCACTTTGAGGGTGCCTTAGGCTCTGTCAGTAAGTGCCTGGCTGGTGAGGGTAGATCTCACGGGAGGAGGACAGGCTCTCTTCCTGGGAACCCTCACTGCACAGCGATACTGATGAGCGGTGGAGATGGTAGAGGGGTGGGTGCCATGAGGGACAGCAGGCCAGGGCAAGCATCCGGAGTGAGTGGCAGCTTAGGAGGAAGTACTATCAGGAGAATAGAATAAACACGGCATGAAAGAGGCTACAGGCTACACATAGAAACCAGGATTCTGAAACAGTCATAATTTCAAACATTTCTACGTTGCGTGGGAAGTGGATGCGGTCATGGAGTCTATGGGTAGCCGGATAGCGAAGAACAAAATAGATGATTTCAACGAGAATCAGGGCTCAAGAGCAAGGAAGTAAAGCTGATGAGTTACAAACACATACAAAAAATGGAAGCAACAATTAGCGTGCTCTGAAAATGGACCGAGTTGCCTTATAAAACAGGGGTCTTGGCCTTCCCTGGTGGCGCAGTGGTTGAGAGTCCGCCTGCCGACGCAGGGGACGCGGGTTTGTGCCCCGGTCTGGGAAGATCCCGCGTGCCGCGGAGCGGCTGGGCCCGAGAGCCATGGCCGCTGAGCCCGCGCGTCCGGAGCCTGTGCTCCGCAACGGGAGAGGCCACAGCAGTGAGAGGCCCGCGTACAGCTAGCTAGCTAGATAAAGAAATAAATAAATAAGTAAGTAAGTAAGTAAGTAAGTAAATAAGTAAATAAGTAAGTAAATAAATAAATAAACAAACAGGGGTCTCTATCTTTTGAAGTATTCAAGAGAAGGCTGGATGACCAATTACAGGTGGGGCAAAGCACAAGAGAAGGTGTAAAGTGTTTTTACCAACCCGAGCTTTATGAATTAATGATTCAATGTAGGAAAACCGAGGAGCCAGGAAGACGGCACGGGCAGAGGACTCCACCAAAGACAGATACACTCAGAGATTTGTGTGAAGACATGGTACCAACTTCAGCCAAATCCGGGGAACGCTTGTGACACTGTGTGACCACATTAGGTATATTCCAATATTCTAGGGCAAGTGGTAGATTTTAAGATTTGATACTGATTTTATACCGCTTTTTTCCCTTGTTACTTTGAGTCTATTGACATTTCTTTTTTAAAAAAAATCAGCTTTGAGGCTTAATTAACATATAAAATTGTAAGATATTTAAAATGTAGATCGTGGTAATTTGATATACATATACATTGTGAAAGAAATCCCCCCACCTGATTAATTAACACATTTATCACCTCATATATTTATTTATTTGATATTTTGGGAGTGAGAATATTTTACTTCTATTCTCTTAGGAAATTTCAATTTACAATACGGTGTTATCAACTACGGTCGCAATGTTATACATCAGATCCTTAGACCTTATCCATCGCATAGCTGGAAGTTTGTACCCTTTACCCAAACCTCTCCCTACTTCCTTCGCCCCCAGCCCCTGCCAGCCACTTTTCCACTCTCTGTTTCTACGAGTTTTACTTTCTTTTTTTTAAATTGAGATTCCACATTGTAAGTAATACCACACAGTATTTGTCTTTCTGTGTCTGGCTTATCTCACTTGGTGCCCTCAAGGTCCGTCCAAGTCACAAATGGCAGGATTTCTTTTCTCATGGCTGAATAGTGTTCCATTGTGTGTGTGTGTGTGTGTGTGTGTGTGTGTGTGTGTGTGTGTCTTACATCTTCCTTATCCACTCATCCATTGATGGACACTTAGGTTGTTTCTATATCTTGGTTATTGTGGATAAGGGTACAATGAATGCAAAAGTGCAGATATCTCAAAATATTTTATTTTGAATTATATTTGCATTTCTCTGGATATAGACCCAGTAATGGGATTACTGGGTCAGCTGGTAGTTCTATTTTTCATTTTTTGAGGACCCTCCATATTGTTTTCCACAGTAGCTGCACCAATTGATTTTATATTTCTATGAAACCCACCCACTGATTTGTGTCAAAATCTAGAGCTGCTTTTATCATCACCATGCTCTCTGCTGGTGTGGATCATCTGTCCACAAATAATCTTGAAACCATGCCCCACAGAGTTAAAAAAACCAGCCTGAAACTGTGCCCCATTGGGTTAACAGAAACTTGGTGACTAACAGAAATTCTTGAGTTTGTCTTATAGTTTGCTATATATCTGCTTGCAACCTACTTTACTACCCATGCTCGCCTTAATTATTTTCTTGCAAATTGTATACCCTCCAAGCTTCATGTAGCCTAAACAATAAGACGTTTGCCTGAGTTGTTTTCCAGGCACTTGGAGTCAGCTGTGTCTAGTTCAAGCTCCAGCTGGCTAAGGCTGGTTGGGACCACTGACCCTAAAACTGGGCCTGTATAGGTGTCTGATGAATGACCGTTTGATGTCGAGGACCAAAACCTGCACACTCAGATCATGCTAAGTGCCTCCATTTTTATTTTATTTTATCTATTTATTTTGTTTTATTTAAAAAAAATTTTTTTTCTAGGCCATGCCAAGCAGCATGTGGGATCTTAGTTCCCCGACCAGGGATCGAACCTGTGCCCCCTGCATCGGGAGCATGGAGTCTTAACCACTGGACCACCAGGGAAGTCCCTCCGTTTTTACATATACATTCCATGAAGAAGCATGTAACTTAGAAACACCTTGGGCAGACCACTGATTACCTCACGTTTTCCCTACATCCAATCACCTTTCCCCACCCCTAAGATCACTCTACTTCTTTATCCATAAATATCTCAAGCTCCTTGCCTTCAGGGAGGCAGACCTGAGACTGGTTCTCCCGTCTCCTCCCTTGGCTGCCTGTGAATACATCCTTTCTTTGCTGCTGCGAACCTGGTAAACGAACCTGGTTTGGTAACAATTTCAATATTATTTCATCCCAAGAAGGTAATTCATAAATAGTAAGTCAAAGACTGCATTGCAATTAAGAGATACTCGGGCTTCCCTGGTGGCGCAGTGGTTGAGAATCTGCCTGCCAATGCAGGGGACACGGGTTCGAGCCCTGGTCTGGGAAGATCCCACATGCCGCGGAGCAACTGGGCTCGTGAGCCACAACTACTGAGCCTGCGCGTCTGGAGCCTGTGCTCCGCAACGGGAGAGGCTGCGATAGTGATAGGCCCGTGCACCGTGATGAAGAGTGGCCCCCACTTGCCGTAACTGGAGAAAGCCCTCGCACAGAAATGAAGACCCAACACAACCAAAAATAAATACAGAAAGAAAGAATTATTAAAAAAAAAAAAAAAGAGAGATACTCAAAAACCCTCACTTAGGCAGGTCCCCAGAGTGAGAGAAGACCATGGTTTTCTCAAGAATCCCAAGATCATGGAAAGAGAATGCACCCCAGATGCATCTCCCCAAATGTACCTAAACTGCCAACACTCCCTGCAGCTACTGTAACTTATTCAAGTTGTTAGATAAATCTGTCTAATTCTTGTTAAACTGCCACAAAAACAGGGGAGAATTACCTCTCTAACACTTGAAATTACTTTTCCAATGAGGTTATCAGTGCCTGATATGGCAGGCAGGCTCTCACCCTCTGCCCTCCCAGAACTTTAGTGGCTTCTTTCATTTCTTTTGAAAGCTGATTTTAGGGGCATCTTTGGAAAGAGCTGATCTTTTGTTCCTAAAATAGGGCACAGAGCCCTAGGGAAAATGTTCAAGTGATTGCCTCACTAAACAAAATGTTTAAATTTTCTTTAAGGGCAGGCTGTCTTTTACATGTGAAATGTCGTTCCTGCCCCCTTCCGCACCCCTCTCCCCAGGGTCCCCCCAGGGAAGTGTCGCTGCAGAGGGACTTTTCCAGGAATAGTGATGACTTAAAAAAAAAAACTTTCTTGTTTGCCTTTGTCATATGTGCCGCAGGGGCACATATGACAGACTCTGCAGGACAGAGTCTGGCTGAAAGAAGCAGACAGATGCAGGGTCTCCCGGTCGGTCCCAAGCTGGAAACACTCTTGCGGCAGTGCCACCGACCTGCTCAGTATGCTCAGTGCTGAGCAGACACTGCACCGACATTTATTTTCATCATGAAACAGCCACTCAGCATTTCCTCTTTAGAGTTCAGTAGTTTGTCATGGAATTTGACAACTGGAAGTGTCTGTGCTCTGAGTGCAGTGGAGACTTTTCCACTTAGTGATGACAGAGGACTTGGGCCGGTGACTGAGCCTAAGGTCCCACAATCTAGCACCAGAACCGGCTCTGTGGTGGCCCCTGATTATCCCCGGGGCACCTGGGGGAGGAGGGTGTCAGGCTGCGGTGGGCTCGGGGCCCTGCGCCCCTCTGGGGCAGAACGGCCGTGGGTCCCCGTCTCCTGTGACTTACAGGGCACACACTGGGCACATACTGGTGGAACGAGGTGTCCCTGGCTGGGAACTGGGTGCGTCT